TGGATGAGGGGATCGAATGCACCCTCAGTAAGTTCGCCGATGACACTAAGCTAGGCGGGTGTGTTGATCTGCTGGAGGGTAGAAAGGCTCCACAGAGGGATCTGGGCAGGCTGGACTGATGGGCCGAGGCCAATGGCGTGAGGTTCACCGAGGCCAATGGTGTGATGTTCACCAAGGCCAAGTGCTGGGTCCTGCATTTGGGTCACAAGAACCCCAGGGACACTACAGGCATGGGGCAGAGGGGCTGGAAAGCTGCCCGGCAGAAAAGGACCTGGGGGTGTTGGTGGATGGCCGGCTGAATATGAGCCAGCAGTGTGCCCAGGTGGCCAAAAAGGCCAACAGCATCTTGGCTTGTATCAGGAATAGCGTGGTGAGCAGGACTAGGGAAGTCATCATTCCCCTGTACTGGGCACTAGTGAGGCCCCACCTCGAGTACTGTGTTCAGTTTTGGGCCTCTCACTACAAGAGGGACATTGAGGTGTTGGAGCGTGTCCAGAGAAGGGCAAAGAAGCTGGGGAGGGGTCTGGAGGACAACTCTTATGAGGAACAACTGAGGGAACTGGGGTTGTTTAGCCTGGAGAAGAGGAGGCTGAGGGGAGACCTTATCACTCTCTACAACTACCTGAAAGGAGGTTGTAGAGAGGTGGGGGCTGACCTCTTCTCCCTGGTGACAAGTGATAGGACGAGAGGAAATGGGTTCAAGTTATGTCAGACGAGGTTTAGATTAGATATTAGGAAAATTTTTTTCACTGAAAGGGTTATTAAACATTGGAATAAGCTGCCCAGGGAGGTGGTGGATTCACCATCCCTGGAGGTATTTAAAAAAAGGGCAGATGTGGTACTTGGGGACATGGTTTAGAAGTGGTTTTGTCAGGGTAGGTTAATGGTTGGACTTGATGATCTTAAAGGTCCCTTCCAACCTCAGCAATTCTATGATTCTATGAAAATGGGTGGGTTTTTTGCGGTGTTGGAGGCAGCTGCTGTGGGGAAGGGAAGAAGGAAGGAACCCCCATATGGCAGTCTTCACTGCGTGGGGTTACAGGCAATATTTATGTAGGAAGAAGCTACAAATGTATTTAAATGATATGATTTTAACATGAACTACTCTTAATGAAGTGATACCTACTTTCAAAGCACAGGACTCTCTATCATTTTTATAATAGAAGGGAACATTTTTCTTTTACCTGAACGCTTTCAATGCAAGTTGGAATAGCTCCGGTTTGCCGGTTAGCCAGTCCAAACCAACAGACCAAGGAATACCACCAGTGTACGCTCGGAACACATGGCTCGGGGCAGGCACGGTGTTATCCAGTCCAAACAGACCAAAACAACACGATAATACTCCATGGACGTATAAGTCTTTCAAAGCTTTATCTTTCATAAGGTCTTCAAGTAAATTGGAAGGCTTTTCTTTCAGATGAAAAAAGTCCAGCTGACTCAAAATGAAGTGGTACCATTCTTCTGGAAACCTCTGCCTCATTTCACTGACTTTGGAAGTAGGCACTGGGGCTGTTCTCCATTCTTCAGGGATGCTCAATAGCTCCGAATATGAGCAACTAAATGCAACCCGAGGTAAAACTTCTTGCTGTTTCCCTTTGTCTACAGCAGGAAGCCCAAGCACAACAGCCCTGTATAACTTATCTTCTGGTGACATTTCTTGTGAGATGTCTTGGCTCTGTGTGTCTACGGATCCTGGAATGGACAGATGTACTTTTGGTGTAGTTCCCCACTGCCCAGGTTCTTTTCTGTCTTTCATTCTGCCACTGGGTTCAAGATCAAAAATGTCACTATCATCAGTCCAGTCCTCAATTGTTTCAACACTAAAACTGTCTTCTTCCCTCAGAGGCCTGGATCTTTCTACTGCAGCGCTATGCTGATTTTCCGGAAATGATCCTTTTTTGCTCTTGTCGGCATTGCCCAGGCTTTCCCATGTTTTTGATTTTTTATAACAATACTGGACAAGCATCCATACAAGCACTTTAATGAAATCATCTTTCAGATGCTTTAAATTTTCATGAGAGTCAATTATTCCAGATAACACATTTCTGGCATCGGAATACAGCCGCACAGGTAGAACAGTACAAGGAGTCAAAATGTGTCCAAAATGGTGATTAGGAGAGAGAATCTTTGTCTGCTCCTGATGTTCAAAAGCCATTTCAAAAATTTCATCAACTCTGTGAGCTTCAGCAGCATGACAGGACGTTTCCTGCAATTCTAGTCCCTAAAGCATAAATGAAAACAATTTGGTTTTAGTCTTCCCCAGTACGTATCCTTAAGTGCTAGCAAGCTGTTTTCTTGCAACAAATTTTTTCTGAACAAATACATTCCATTGTCAATATTTCCACAACTGAACCTACAAATCTAACTAGAGATAATAGTAATAGCAAAGCACTCACTACAATATTAGACATGGATCTATGTCTTAAAAAAATAAGTCTTGGCCTCATACACATCTTAGTAGCCAGCTTATTAAAGATGATGTGTCACAATCTAGATGATAAAAATTTTCACATCTGCTAAGCATGTTAGTTCCGAAACTAGTTAATATAGCAATAACACTCATCTTAAAAACCTGACCCTAACATGAGGTAAATTAGTTACATTGTTGAAATATTATACAGCAAAATGTTTGCATGATTTCAAAACTGTAATATGTCAGCCCTCAGCATGCAGTTACCTTAATGTTAACACCACAGTAAGTGAAGCCTTTTTCTAGCACCAATATCCACATCAGTCTATCTTGAAAACGGCACAAGTAATGTGATCCAGGTAGAGAGAGACCTAGACAAGAAAAAGACAAATCAAAAGCTATGATATTGCTGTGGCATTATATTGATGAAAGCCCAAGGAATTGAACTGCAAACACAAAATATTTCTCCATCAACATCGAAATCAGTTAGAACTGGTGAACTAGTACGCTAGAATCCTAAAGGAACTAGCTGCAAAGCTGGATCTTGAAACTGTAGCGGTATCTTTGAAAAACCTGTGGAAAACTGGGAAGCCCTCACAGAACTGCAAGACTACAATGTTCATCCTGGACCAGTGTTAAGCAACCCCTCCCTCAATTCCCTTTGTAGACAAGACTTCCATGATTCAAGATCACCTTTGGCTACATTTCCAAGTGCACAGTTCCCACTGATGCCACCTGGAGATCCAAAATACTTATGACTGACAAATACATTAAAGAATTGTCATCTAGCATATGAGTTTCTTAATGGCTCTATTTGCTGTGGAGTATGAAGTTTATTTGTTATGGGAGAAATAAAAATGCAACTTAACAGGATTTACCTACACTACCAGTTCCTAAATTGACTTGTCTGTATTCCAGAACGACTAGAAAATACCCCTAGGATGTGAAACCCAGAGTGTAAGTGATTCTGCTCAAGTGTCAGCTTACCAATGACATAATGTCACATCCATTTTACAGATACACAGAGGCAGAGAGATAAAGATCTACATTTCAAGAGCACCTCCTCATCTTTAAAGATCTGTGAACCAGTATCGTACACGTTGAACACTAACAGCAGATACAGTAGGAATCATCTGCAGTCTTTCCAAAATACCTGTGCGTGTGTAATAAATCTGATCCCACTGTCTTAAGTTTGACATCACCAAAAATACAACCACACAAAATAAAATGGAATTTGAAAATCAAGTCCTGAACAACTTCAGATCACCCATCAAAGTAATTAGTACTCAAAAATCCCACAATCTGGCTGTCACTGTAAAAATTAGATGACACTTTGGTCCCAAAAAAGGGGTACTTTTTCTTTCTTATACCAATTTCAATAAAAAGTGCAATGTCAAACTTCCTAGCAACTGGTGGTTATACTGTGTTTCTTTTAAGTTAGAGCCTGCTGTCAACTTCTCCAGTACAATGGTGCTGTTCTCTGTTCTTAAGCATGACATTTGCTGCCAGTTTATGACCTGCTTCTGCTCTCACTCACGTCCAAGTGATCACTCACTTGCACAGAGAAATTTAGTTTTAGAACGTTGTAAGATGAAATCAGTGAAACCAACCATTAAGCCGTAGTTAAAATTTAAGTAACCTTTTCTATCCCACTGAGCTAATGAAGTGCATTTTCTTGCTAACATTTTGCAAAGATTTTAATTCTTTTCTTGCTAGCTGTTAAAGCTACTAAAACTCCTTTACATAGAAAAAAAGTATGGTTTTAAATTAAAATAGAGACACACAAAGTGGTACCTCTTCAATTTGAACTCATCTGAGAGCACCACATTTTTTCTTGCTTGAAGACATTAATTCACAGATTTTCATATTAAAGAAGAGACTTTTTCTCCCCCTGAAGACCGGTGTTTAAATTATTTAATCTGAGGGATACATGCCACTACAGTCATGATGGCAATGGGGAAATATATCTCTCTCTCTATATACAGAAATATGTATAGGTACAAAATAGATAGACATAAGATATATATAACAGATATTTATATCATATAATAGATATCTATATCTATTATGTATAAAAAACATACATAGGCTGATTCAGTAGACAAACTGAAGTGTCTCTCCTCTTTAGAGGAACAAAGCTTCCTAGTTTTATTTTTTTAATACCCCTCTCTAAACCAGTACTAAAACTGCAGCAAAAGTTTCCTAGTAAAGCATGTGCATATAGCTTCAGAGAAGTGTGTTTAAGGTTAGCTCCCACAGTCTTCAAATATTAGTCCATTTTTTTCTAGTCATAAGCCATTTTTTAAGAGATTTATGTAAATATTTGCCTCTTGTCTAAGGGCTACGATCTTTTCATTATTTAGGTTACACAAAGAGTGTTTCTCAAGAAAATGAGCTTGCAATTTTAACAGTTATTCTGTCTCCAGCTGGGAAAAAGACTTGGCATTTCTTCACCTCTGTTTATATAACTCTGTGAAATACCCATCATGATGGCTTTCACAGGCTTTAAGACCTGTTACAACCCTACCCTAACAAGGTATGTCATTAAGTCTTATCAGCTGGTTCTGTTCTCAACTGTTAACTGCCAGTTAGGCTACATCATGTATGTTACAAACATCCAGTCCATATTCACCGTACCTAATTAAGACAGCCAAATTAGCAAAGTCACTTTCTGCATCCTGAGTAACAGGACTGATGTAGAGAAAGACACACACTTACGCAACCACAAAGAGCAGTTTGACACACCTCCTCTCTACAGTCAAGAGAACTCTTCAATTTATTGCCTCCAATTAGGTGGGACGAAAGCATACCATCCTCTTTTGTTCAGTATACAAAGATTAGGATTGATACTGTTTCATCACCATTTAGTTTCTCCTTATTTTAAAGATAACAAAACACAATTACTTTCTTGCAAGAATGTAACAAGTAGAGATGTAAGACAAGGATAAAAGTAAACGCTTTTTCCTCAATTGAACAACCTCTGAATATGAGATTTAACCTACGCCATGAAACGTGGTTTAAATCAGATGCTATGATTCTCCTGTTCTCCAGCAAAATCATGTTTCCTAAAATACTCCTACATTCCTTCACAGTGTTGCCAGCATACCTACCTAGGCTACCGGCTGCTAGTGCAGACTGCAGAGCAACAGCCAGACTTGGAACCATCTGCTGGTAGTACACGGTATCAGAGCAAACACACGCTGTAGCACCTACAGGTCCTGGCCAGCTTCGGATAGGCCTAGGAAACCCAATCAAAAATACCGGGAGCGTGAAGAGCGGCAGCAAGGGAGAAGAAAGGATGGCAGAGATGGCGATGAAGGTCAGCAGGATCGGGAAGAAAACGATATTGAGTGTGATTAAGGTAGCGGTAGATTTGCGACGTTGCTTTTTCTCTGTCCACGATGTCAAAAGAATAGCTATGGCAAACTGCAACTTTGAGACGAACTGAAGCAGTCGATCCCGTAGGATACCAACCTGCAAGATACATACAAGCAACATGTTTATTTGTATCCTGCATCATATCATATTCAGCACTGCCAAATCTGCCTTACCTACAGTAATTTTAAGAAAATGAAGCGCAATTATCATTGACTGGTTTCAGAGTGAATGCCTTAGTACAGTTTTTCAGCCTCTGTTTGCTAGGTCCTGAACCAAATTCTCTAACATGGGAAGGCAAGGAAACAAAGACTTTAAGTGGCAACTATCTGTTTACATTTACAATATGACAATTACCAGCAGGAGTCTGATTCCTGTATCAAGGCTCTTGTTCCACCAGAGGTCTGGATTAAACACCAACATTTGTGCTACTGACACAACCACTATGTCCAGTAAGGCGTTTTCAGTATTCTGCCAGACCTAAAATAGAGGTATGTTAGGCATACGTTTAGAAATGTATTTATCTATTTCTGCTTTCATGACCTGGAATATTTCTTCCAAGTCACCTTAATACTTAAATCATGTAGAAGAGAATTTCTTAGGCTAGCATACTTAAAATTCATATTACCATCCTAAATATTCTTGTGAATCCAATGCAAACAGACACGGAATGAAGATTTTGTAGCGAACGGTCTAGTGACAGGAATGCTATCATAGCAAATGGCGACACTGTAATTGAAATAAAAGAAATCATTGATTTCCATTCAAAACAATAATTAAAATCTACAGAGGTAAGCAGTCTTATTGCAGAGTGGAAATCTTAGCGTAAAGAGAACTCTTCTCTTCATTATTACAAACTCCTCTTTGTATTACACTTCCAGGATATCAAACAGTGTATTTGCACTAATGGCCCAAGATGGCAAACTTTTGTCGATGCTTAGTTGTTACTTGCTATTATTTTTTTTGTTGTTTGTTTGTTTCCCCAGGAGAACAGGAATATTCAAATAAACATAGGAATAGCACTCATCAATCCACTTCCCCAAACTGATGCTCCTTTATGAAATTAAATAATTTAGATGAAATTTTGGTTCCCCCAAAGTAGACACATCTATTCCTAATCGACCACAAAGGAGATTGTTCCCTTTACTAGCAAGTTGTATGAACCAAATATTTAGCCAGCTTGAAGACTCTCAACTCACTATTGTTTCTGAGTACCTTTTAAAAAAAAAAATCTACAAGAGCCATTTTTTCAAAAGTGAGTACTGATGTTACAACTAAAATCCTTTAAAAGGCCTTGCTTTCTGAGTTGGACTTTTAAAAAGCTCAAATTTTTAGGTTTACCCCTAAAAAAAAGAAATGAATAAAATCACTAATCACTTCCAAATATTCTGAACCAGTAATTTTGACCTCAATGCACAATTTACAGAACATCAACAAATATTTCCAGTAATTTGTTTTTTCTTAGTTCATTTATAGAATCTTGCACATACAGTTATTTTAGCGTTGTTTCAGTCTTCCTACAAGTATCATCTAACAAACAACAGACAGTGTGTATTCCTACCTAGTGTTAGTAAAATCCTCCTGACAACACCAACTTTCATTAGCCTTCTTTGCTTCTCCATGAACACAGTCACAGTCCTGACATCCTTTGGATAAAAGGGGTTTCGGAAGACTCCAAACAAGTACACTCTCTGAATCTCTCTAAGAATCCACATAATTATAAGTAATATGATCAGAATGTAACTCGCTATAGCCTGAGGACTGGCTTGGGAAAACGATGAAAAGCCTGCAAATTGATGCAGCAGGCTAGCTTCTATGAGAGCAAACGTCAATACAGTCAAATAAAAAATAAATTCCCTCCACCCAAATTGTATTCTAAGACCTCTGTGCATATTTTTAGATTTGCTGGAGGCTAAATGGCTGATCATGGTGTGTTTGAAGGCAAAACCAATCTCGCTTAGGTTAAGACTCAGTATGAACCCAAATCCAGTCATGAAGAGGATCACACCGAGAGTGCTGGGAATGAAATACGATGCTATTGCTGTTCCAGCAGAAATGAGAAACATTACTAATAACCTGTGAAGGAGAAAATAAAAAAGATTTGCTTGAAAAGAAAAAGGTTATAAACAATACTGATATATTTTACAATTATATAAACAACATTTACTTTGTGTTACTTGACATAGGTGAACCTCCTAGTCCAAACTCCAACAGTTGTTCCATTCCCCATAGAAAAAGTGCGTCAAGCGGGGGCAGAATTCCCATTGCCCATAAAAAGGGCAGAAAAAGAAATATGATGTGCAAAATCTGGTTTGTCTGTTCTAGAATGGGTGTGTTGACAGCAAACCTGGATAAAAGAAGAAATGTATTTGAATTCTGTGACAGAAAAGATAACTGATGCGTGGGAAGACTTTTTGTTTAACTACTACAGCAAATCCAGAAGTATAAACATTACATATTTTATCTACAAAATCTAAAAGGGTATCTTTTAAAAGGAAAAATAAGGACACAAATTTATGCTTGGGGCAGTAGTACAGTAATTAGAACATCAGAACACAGGATAATTTTTCATTCAAGAGATTTGAAGCCTTCAGATTACACAGATGAGTCAAGTGATCTAAGTATCCTAATTGTTTTGATACTGTTGTGATAATACGCTCAAGAAATACTTGTGCAAAAAGAAAAGTCCAGACCTCAATTGTTTAACAAAAAAATGCTAGAGTATTTTTTCAAAATTACAAAAGCAAAACTTTACATCTTGGGTCTTGGACTTGCATAAGCATTAACACTGAATGAACCGACATTAACAATGACATCCCAAAGTGCAAAACTAGTAAAATCAAACATGCTTTTTTAAAAATGCATTTGAAGTACCCCAACCATAAAATATGTACATGTGACAAAGTGATATAAATATCAACCGACAGGGAGAAAGAAAACATAAAGTAAATCTAAAAGCATCTTGCTTTGAGAGATTCTACAAATTCTTTAGCTAAGACATTCTGAAAAGTGGAAATATAAGCATCTCCTATTCGTAGACTGACATAGTTCTCTTGTATCGCAAAAGCATTTAAAAATTCAAGTTCAAAATCCATATAATAAAGATATAGCAACGTTCACATTTGCTTATCTATTCATTAAAACCAAATTCATTGTCCTTTTTGTGCATGTAATTTATAACCCCCTGCCATCACTTTGCAGAGATTAAATTCAAAAATATTCCAGAATGAAATCTGGATATAAATCCAGAAGCTCCTGAAGCCTGCAGTGTTTAGATCTCTGATTCCAGGTCAGGAACATGTCTTTAAAAGGATGTTGATGCAAATGCTCTTGTACAAAAATACTGAAATTGACACTAGAAGATAATTTTAGCTATCCTTCACTTAGAAATGACTCTTCCTAATTTACGTTGAATGCTATAAAAATTTAAGAATAACCTTTTATGCACAACATAAAGCATGTTTTTACCATCTGCTCTTCTAGCTTCTTCCTTTGTAGTTCCTACAGTTGATTAAAATCTCAAAGTTTCCTCAGAAGAATCATTTTATCTTTCTCATTAAATATATATAGAATAACCATTACTTTAATTAGCTAAATGCTGTATTATGTTTACCTGTGTGCAAGATCCACTGCAATAAAGACAAAAATGTAGAAAGGTCTCATCAGAGCAGTGATTTCATAAGTATCCAGTGCTTGGAAAGTAGCTGTTTCGGTAGCCGTATTTATGATTAGCGAATACTCTCCTATACATATAGTCACCCATCCAAATACAAAGATCATAACAGTTCCTCCAATGTTGCTATACAGCAAGGTTATTCTGTTTGGCAGCAAATACCAAGTTCCCAACCCACACAATACCCCTGCCAGAAAGGAATGAAATACAGTGTTGATTATATACTTCTTGCCAGGAATAATAAATTTTACTGTCTCTGAACCTACACAGCTGGAAAATTCAAACTCATCTTCATCCGTTAGGGTATTCTGAATTTGCATTCTTTCTACCGTCACTGTTTTCTGTTTTGCATATAGATTTGTCAGCTGAAGCATAAGTGCAGTAACAAACATCAGTCCTCCTGAAAGTGCTGCGGTATAGTAGTCTTTCATAACTCCTAACTGATACAAAAGTGTTCCTACTCCTCCCAAAACCCATGGCATCAAGAAAAGAATAATCTGATTCACATATATGTAAGGAGGGGCACAGTAGCCTAATTTAAACCGGGGACCTCCCAGCACGGTCTGTGGAAAACGCTTCAAGAAGAACTCCTGTTTATAATCATTCAGCAGAGGTACATCTGGACCCATTCTTATTACTCAGGAATGCTGGATGAATATCATTTTTCCTGTAAGAGAACAGAAAGAAAAAGAAGGAAACATTACTGAATCTGGAACTCAGAACTTAACCAGGGAATTCTTTGGTCCTGTTTTCATTTACTAAGTTATAGTGGAGTTCTGACATGTTAGTGCTAATAGACATCATCCTAAAGCACCGACAGAATCTGCCAGAAAGTAGCAAACAGCTAAAGAAACTACTAAGCAAACAGCTAAAATGGAAAAACATTATCTATTTTAAAATAAAGATTATATTCACAATCTGAAGATTTAGGCAACAAATAAAACATATAAACAGTTCCTAAGAGATGATAAAACCAACTCATCTCCACACCAGAACACCTTCCTGAAACAGATTTTTTTTTCCATCCGGCCTGATTACAATCACATCTTGCCACAGACCTCTTATTCCAATTAATCCTGTTAAAGATTTCCATATACAAACAGAAGAGTCAGTGATTTCAGTGAATAGCCCCCTAAGTGCAAGGATACAGTCACACTGTGGTCCCTGTAAAAAATCAAAGCCTTATGTAATAAACTAACTGTAAAAAAAAATAGTAGAAGCATTAAAAATTGTTTTGCACATCAGCATTTTTACTGTCCTACACAGCCTAGTTGCAGAACAGGATCTCACTGTCCTAAGCACTACACAAGACATAAAATGAACAGTTCACTTTCTGGTTCCTAAAACATACAAAATAAAAAAAATAAACAATACTTGTGAGTGGTAGCAGAATCGGTATATATTCTTCTGTCTGCCAATGGAGAAAGCTGAAAAAAGGAAAAAAAAAGATACCTGTAAACATTTATAATGAATCATTGAAATCAAATATGAATACTCATTTAGAGATGATGAGGCAATGTAGACATAGTGAATGTAAGAAAGTAACTATGATATGAAAGCATAATTTTATGCTACTAGTCACAAAAGCAAGAATCCATGAATGGCAGGTAGAAATACTCAAGCTAAGAAACAGGGTGATAAAACAGCACAAAAATGCAGTCCTAAAGCACTTCATTAATAATAATTCTAAAGAGGAGATATCGGTGTGCATTAGGAGTTGTGCAGCTACTGAAATCTTGACTTTCTTCTACCTGTATAATCTGATGAATACCTATTAGCCATCATTGCTGATATATTAAAAATGAAACACTCGGCTGCCGTGGAGTTTCCAAACTACTGTGATCCCTTCTTTATATAATACCAAATGCTTATATGTGTTACTGAGAACAATCTACTTCTTACATGTAAACACTTTTCTGTAGGTAGATACTGGTCATCATGGGACTAAGTTAGAAACAGAGCAAATAAGAGAGATTAAAGATAATCACAACTGGAAATTTGCATTCAGGGTCCACAAAGTCAATACACTCCACAATGAAAAGCACGACCCCACAAGCTCTGTAACTACTTTCCAAGTAGGCTGTCAAATGACTTTTTTTTTTTTAAAGTAAAAATTCCAAATTGGAATTTTCCACATAGAATACTGTATGTGGAATATTGAAACTACAGAGGTTTTTTGGTCACGCTATTTCAAGCCATTGAAAGTTTCTTAAGGGAAGGAAAAGGCAGCAGTCACTCTTAATAGAAAAGACACATGTTGACAATGGAGAAGGGAATTCATTGCAGTTAGCTCAGGAATTTGAAAATGTAACAGGGACACACCCAACTAAAAACAAATTTCAAGTGTAATTAACAAAAAAAAAAATAAAAATCACAATTCAGCCAATCTCGTTTAGAAAAAGAAACACTGTTTAGAGGGCTACATAGGCATGAAACTAAGTTGCTGTTAAAGTTACATGCAGTAGAAGATTTATATGCACCTAAATGATACAAGTTGAGTTTTAAAAGAAATGTAGAACCAAAGGTGCATAGTTTTCAGACAGCTGTGTTTTTGTCCTCTAAGTAGAGCTATTTGTATTTCAAGTGCAAGTCTGCATTTGTTTGTCAGTTTATATTGTTAACAAAATGTTAACAAAACATTCCTCTTACAGTTTCTGTGTAAACAATAGACATCTTTGTGTGAGACACAAAAATCTATGTACATAAACAGTATAGTTCTACTTTGCTACACTCCAAAACAAGCCATAAAAAGATATGAATTTATTTATAAATGACAATCCTAAGACTGAAGCTCACAAACTATGGAAATGATACCCTTGACTATCCTCCTGGCTTCCAAATAGCCAGGTAGCACATTAGGGCTTCAAAGAGGCACTCATGCGTGTCTCTTTATTTCTGTGCAAAGCCGTAGCAACAAGACTCCCCACATAAGTGAGTGTTTACAGGACCTGGCTTCAATATACATTCCTAACATACAGGCCTGGCCCGACTTTGACAACTTGCCTAGTTACCCAAACAATCTGCACCACAACAGTTTGTCATCGCCAGCAGGGATCCATGCGACTTAGTTATCATAACAAGGATGGTAAAAGAACTTCAACACCATAAGTAATTTAACATGTGTCCCCCCCCTCTTCCCCCCAGTATTCTATGTCCTTATTACAAAAACAAACAAAGCAAATCTTGCTCAAATTCAGGCAGAAGTTCACAGGAGGGCATGAACTTTTGTCTAAACGAACATCAGCCTTCGCGTCCATCCTCCGCTGATGGTGGATCAGATCAGTGCACTCTGGTTTTACTTCAAGCAGATTACAGGGGAAGAGGTGTACAACTCTCAGCCGTCTAAGCCGCCGGAGCGCATAAGGCTTAAAAATACTTACCTCGGTGGTCCTCGAGGTCTTTTCACGCGAGACTAAGTAACGGTCACAAACCACCTGCGAGCGCAGGCGGGAGGAACGCCAGCGTGGGAGGCGCGGGGGGAACTGCGGACAGCCCCTGTCCGGGCAAAACCCGAGGCACCCCCTGCCCACCTGTGTGCCCCAACACCCACACCTCCGCTCCATGGTTATTCAGCTGTGCTGCAGGCCAGCTTCCAGCCCAGGAGGCCTGATGGAGCAGGCTGGGGGCCCTCTCCTCCACAGCATCGATGCCATCCCCCAGTGAGACCGGGGACGAAGCATTTAAGGCTGACG